ACCAGGTGTATTTGTGCCAGGCTGGAGTGAAGTGCAGATTTCTTTCTCCTGGGCCCCACCTTTGTGGCCATGTGTGACTCAGAACCTCACAGGTTGAAGTCTGTTTTTGTTTCCAAAGCTACCAAAGCACTCTGCATGCGGTCCTCACCCCTGCAGAGTATAGGATAGACCTTACTCTAGGTTTATTGTTAGTGTCACTTCAGAGAGCTGGATGGGTTAGGAAGGGTCTTGAGGCCTAAACAGAACACTGGACTGATGTGGGCCTCAAGCTTTGTGTCAGGCTTGAGTCAGTCTCCTTACAAAAGAAATCTACAGAAATAGTAGCTAAACCCTAGCTGGAGTTTATTTCCATCTAGTTAGGATCTGAGACATTGGTCATCACACATCTCCCAACTCCCCAGCCCAGAAGAAGCCGTGACCACTGTGCTCACAACCCACTGGTCAGATGCAGTCACGTGGCTGCTCACAGCTGCAGGGCAGGCTGGGAAGTATAGATTCCTATGATGGCCTTGTCCCTACCTTCAGCTTTTGAGAGGGAAGGATTCTCTGGTGGGCAGCCATGGCAGGGAGGGGAATTAGCACTGAGGCTATCCAGGACAAGCAGAGGCAGGCCAGTTTCTCCTCCTGGGCTTGGCTATGGAATGGGACTCCTCACTGAGTACACTGGGTCTTAATTCCATCCCTACCACTTTCTTGCCCAGTGACCCTGGGATATCATTCAGCCTTGCTCTGCCTGTTTCCCCATCTGTAAGGAGGGGGTGCTAATGCTGTTACATAGTCCAGCACCCATTAGGCACCCAGTGTTTTTGCTGATCTGGAAGCTGCATGGCCTGACCATACAGGAGCTTACCCCAACTCCTGAGGGCTACTGAGCTTCTTCTTTTTTATTTAATTTTATTTATTTATTTATTTATTTATGCGCACGTGTGTGTGTGTGTGTGTGTGTGTGCGTGTGTGTGGCCAGCTCAGCCCACCAGGGGGCGGGGCTGACTGGCATGTGGTGCTGGGGGATTGAACCACGGTCCACTGTGCTTTGCTAAGCTTGTTCTAAGTAGGTGCTTTAGACCACTGAGCCATCTCACCAGCCCCCGCTTCTTCTTTTTTATTTTTAAATTTATTTTAAAACACCAATCGTGCCCCCTCCCCATTTTTGTACTGGGAATCTAACTCAGGACCTTGTACTTGCCAGGCAGGAGCTGTGCCATTAAGCTGTATCCCCGGTCCCAGCTCTCAGCTTCTTAAGCCTCCCACATTTCAGGTGGGGCATAACCTCCAGGCTAGGAGGCCTCTACACTGCTGGGAAGTAGGTCAGTGTGACTCAGCCCACCAGAACCAAGTGCCACCCTACACTGTCACCACCATGGAGAGGGGCTTGGATAGCCTCTGCTTCCACCACCTCCTAGGCAGCAGATTGCCAGCCTGGGCTGGTGCCCCATGAATACCATGGGCACAACTTGGGCGAGGGACGGCTTGGCTTGTGAGCCTGAGTTCCCCCTGCAGACATGCTGATGAATTCAGATGTGGAATAAGACATAGGGAGCATGTCCCAGAGATGGAGACCCTACCTGGGCACATAGCCAGCCCATGTGGCCCCTGCCAAGTAGACATGAATAATTTGGGGAACACTATTCAGCCTACTCTAGATAACTTGAATAGACATTTTGAAATCCAAGCACAGATGGTAGGTTAATTAGTTGTGGATTGAGAAAAGGAGCCCAGGTGGACATTAAGGTTTGCATCACAAGCAGCTGAAGGATGGAGAAGCCACTGATGAAAACTAAAGAGTTGGGGGCACGTGAAAACTAAAGAGGCTGGGTGCGCAGGAGCTTGGCTGGGCTACGGCAACCTCAGGAATCTAAGGGACATCGAGCAGAGGACAGGAAAGTCAGTGCCCCAAACACACACCAGAAAACCAAAAGGAGGAGCCCCTTGCGTGTGAGCACCCAGGAGCCCTGTGCAAGATCATGCTGAGCAGCTTCACTGAGCCTTCTGGAGCGCAGCGAACTCCTGTGCCATCCACAGCGTGCAGCAAGACCTGAGGCCCGCCTGCACTACCTCCCTGCTGTGGAAGCGAGCAGTGGCTGGCCCTGACAGGAAGCCGTGGTCCTCAGATGCATGGTGCTGAGCAAAGCCCAGCCTCAGGGCACATGCCACGCTCAATTCAGTGAAAGTGCATGTGCAGTTAGGCTGGATTCTCCTTCCCGGTCCTGTAACTTGAAGCTGTCCAACCTCACTCCCCACCTCCACTTCTTTCATTCATCCAATGGGGATGAGGCTGGCTCTCTCTGGAAAGTCTTTTGTTCTGATGGATGGGTTAATCCAGCACACCAGTCCCTTCTAAGTGCCAACTCTTGTCATTGGCTACTATTTTATAGTTTCTGATTGCTGCTGAATCTGGAGCATATCTTCATATTGTTTTTCTTGTTTTGAAAAGGGATCTCATTGTGTTTTTCTGGCTGGGCTCCAGTGATTCTCCTGCTTCACCTCTGAGTAGCTAAGACTTCAGGTTTCTCTGTCCTTACTTAAGGATGGCATCATTGTAACCACTTTGTACCTTGTAGCTGTCATTTGTTGTTTGTCCCCTGATTGGTAAATCATTGCCTATTGCTGGGGATGGGTAGTTTAACTTTGTGCTGCTCTCCAGGGTTCCGGAGAACTTCCTGAAATACTCTGGGCATGTTCAGCATGCAGTTCTTCAAGTATTTACCTGATTCTGTCCAGAAAAGTCAGAGGTAGTCATTTCTCCACCCTTGCTTACGTGCCTGTTCTTGTGTTTTCATTTGTTTGTTTGCAGTGCTGAGGCTGGGACCCAGGGCCTTGTGCATGCTGGCCAGCATTCCGCCTCTGAGCTATGCCCCAGCCCTATTTCTTCTTTTAACCTTTGCCACAGTGGTGAGGAAAAGATTAGTTCTCATTTGAATTTGAGTTTCTTTGGCTTTTATGTAGGAAAGCATGTTTTCATGTCTGTTGGACATTGGAAACTGTAGGAGACACTTTCAGGTCCTCGTCTCTGTCCAAGAAGCCAATATTTGTAATCCCAAATTTACATTATTGGAATCCCATCAACTTGATTCCAATCTACCACTTTCAATGCAACCCACAGCGAAAATAAAGACACTAAATTATATTTTCAATCATCAGGGAGTCAGGGGCCTCTAAGTCCAGCCATGAAGATGGCTTTCTGAAACCAAGAGAGCATCCCAGGGCCTCACCCGGTTTCTATTCAATGGGGGAATGGCTTGAGGAGGATTGACTGAGAATTGTGGGAAGTAGGTGATCATTGTGAGCTGAGCTAGGTGGGCGGCCTATATTTACCTCTGTGATATGCAGAGAGGATATGCAGAGACAGTAATCTGCGTTATATAGTATTTAATGTTTTGGTAAGTCTGGTGCTTCAGCTTTGTTGTAGTCTTTCAAGCCCCAGGAAGTCAGAGCCTCTGTCTCAAGGCTCGATCCCAGCTGGCAGCACAGAGCATTGGATCTTCTGTCCTGTCTTGACCCGGCTCACATTAAAGAGCAGCAGGTATAGGTTACCAGGGAAACA